CATGTACACTTTGCCTAAACCATACTCCTTCCGCGAGAACGTAATTCTAATTAAGAAGAAAAATTGCCTCAAACGTGCGCACTCTAACGGTACGATTCACAACGAGATTGAGAACAACTTCAAGAATAATTTTCTGTATCTTCTTCACAACTTTGCAAAAAATCATCATTCCTTTCCTTTCTTCAGCAATCTCTTCGGAACAGGTTGATGTATAAAACTTATTACTATAATCGATCGTAATTAATCAGTATAACGATAGGTGAAGGTCGCCTGCATAACGCCTAGTCTATTGAATAGAATCACAGGCAAGCGATTTGAGCTGGAGACAATGGTACCTCCGCTGCCATTCACTTGTATCATCTGCAGTAACACCTGTAGTCCCGTTGATCGTCGAGTGACTAGAACGGGCGCCAGTAAATTTTCCATCTCTCTCTGCCGCATGCAAGAGTAGCCCAGTGGGTTCTGCTCGCTCTAGAGACTCATCGATCATCATATCTTTCTTCAAGGCTCTTCGTGAAGAACTCTGACCACCGAATCGGTCGTCTTCCTGCGGTACGTTTGACATCCTGAGAAATCCAACCACTAACGGCTCTTGTCCATCGGTTGTTACGCATCACGTTTCCGGCCCACCTCATCTTCGACTGTTTGGCGTACAGAACGGCATCTTTGATTTTTGACCGTTGACGCGGATCGGAGCTTCGGATTCGATTCCCTACTTATGTGGAACGGGATACTACTAGCAACGCCCATTCGACTGCGCGTTCGATAACGCTGAGTTGACCTTTCGTACTGCTTACGCAGCGACCAGGTTTTTGACGTATACGTTAGGGCAGGAAAACCGTTAAGTCGAAAAAGTGGGCACGGAGTCGGATGTTCTTTGTTCCCTTTACTACATCCTCGGTGCTCTTGAAAGCGCCCCAAGCCGCTCGTTTCCTTCTGCTTAGCTCTGGAGCTAGGTCGTTCATCAGATTGATTTTCCGACCTAGAATTCACGCTGCCATTCACCGAGCAAAAACTGAAAAACGTGCGTACTTTTGCTAACAACTGCGATTAGCAAACATTGACGCTTACCGGTAGCCTGTTAGCTTCTAATCTTTTTGAGCCTAGATTTCGACCCCTCCATAGATACATCCAGGGAAGTCATAGCCAAGACAGACCGATTTCATTTCTGCCTCGATTCTCTTTGTGTGGTTATATCTTGGTTCAAATGAGAGAAATAGTTAATAAAATCGTACCGTGATGACATAATTGCAAGAAAAAAATTTAGTCCGGTTTCAAAACCTAGCCTATAGTCCATCGTTCGTTTTTTGCTTGTCGCCTCGATATCCTCTCTACATCCTGGTGGCTGGAATAAGGTCAATCTTCTTGTCGGTCATACATTCGTAACGCCATTTCCTAACCGTCGAACACACAAAGCACCACCGTAGTCTCTCGGACAAATGCATATGGAACAGTTTCGAAGGTGAGGAGATCCTTTATTCAAACACTTTGCAAATGTTGACTTGTTGCATATTGCTAAAGTACTCAAGTTCTTCAGTGATATCGAGTTTCAGTGCAAAATGTTCGAAAGTCCGACCACAGCATCCGTAACGTTCGTTGACCACGAATATATTTTGGAGGAAGAGATTATTAAAGATCCCATTGTCTTTTGATAAAAAAATTTAATGCAATCATTGTGGTCTGGTTATTAGCAGAACAACTGAGAAGTACGAGAATATAGAGAAACTTGGTGAGAAATCTCGAGAGAGCTGCGCATACGCGAGCTCACTGCAATGAATGACAATACCGTAGTCGTACGTGAGTCCATACAGTTCGACGTATATCAGATCAACTTTAGTGAATTCGTCAATAGCGGACAACTAAATCAATTGTAGGGGTTCTTCGATAAAGCAGTCTCTAGTATTTTCATATGCCCTACATTAACATTTTGCTCGACGATTTGAATGTAATTGTCGCGATCAAATCGCGTCATTGTGTGAAGAAGTTCAAGAGCATGTCCGATCTCATGCGCGGCTAACCCTTTCTAAAAAACGTATAACGAAAGTTGTGTTACTAGCCAGAATACACTATGATACTTTAGAAATGCTATTTTATATGCGTTATACCGCCTCGAACCATCACCGAGTGAAAGAAACTCATCTCCGCCGAGTCTCCCGTTATCCGACAGGCATCCCACTTCTTTGACTACGACAATCTTGTCCTGAGCTGCAAGCACTTAGTATATGAAGCAGTTTGTCCTTTGGTAGATATGAGGAACCATTTTTATCTTCTTTGAAGTCGACACAGGTGGCTTCTCTTCGTGCCTTTACGCCCATGGTGAAGAATCTTCCCACGATTTCGTCTCAATTGTATTAAAGTTGCGTACATGAATGATTAGCCGACTAAGTAGAAATCTATTTACTTCCTACAGAGTGGATACTCTGATTGTCTTAACGAAAACGAAATCCACACAGAAGAGTTCTAATCATGAGATAAATTTTTGTGCTAATAAACTTTTCTCAATTCTTTCATTGCAACACAATCACTTTTTGCGAATTAGATCTTCAAAAGGTTCCTCTCTAACTTTTTTCTATGTTTTTTCGTTGTTTACAAAAGCTGTTATTTTCTTGATCGTTCAACACCTTTTAGACCAATGGGATTGGCCGTTCTGAAATGATTGGCGGCAAATTTGGATTTTGGCGCTTTGCTCATTTACGGAGCTGCAAATTTCCAAGTAGCTAACCTGATGTGTTGAAAGTATAGAAAACGCCATTTTGCCATGTCCTGTTCTTATTTCCGTAAACTTTTATTACTTGTCTCTTTGAACGAGCCCCACTCACGTCGTTGCTGATAATTTGGATTATCCGTTGAAAAACAGATTATTATCAACGGATAATCGTATCAATAACAACCGTCCTGTATAAAAGAACATCGACGGGTGAGTATGTCTCACTCGAGATGCTCGACTGAGGAAGATCCGGTTCGATGCGAGACGAAGACAGCACATCGAGAAGAGGAACAATTGTGGACAATCGACAAGGGTGGTCTGCTCTGTTAAAGGCGAAGACGTTGAAACGTTAGCCGAATAAATATCTCTATCAACCTTTCGTTATTACACTTTTTGAGATGTTGAACTGAAAAGATTGTGAATAATATATGTGTTTGTAAACACTACAAGAAACAACCTAGTAGCAATATCAAATGGGTGTAACCTTCGTTGACGATTTTTGCAAGGTATTTCAGGTACTTCCAGTTGACAACATTAGTATTTGACATTGTTTATGGAAAAATGTGTTCACATCGTGTCCGAAATGATTAAAAAGGGTTTGATCCAATAAAAACAGTAAAGCGGTGAATCAAAGTGCCCCTGATGGTAGCAGTGATGATGATGTTGAAAATGTTAATAATGTGAATACCACAACGATACTGAGATTCTCGCAACATTTGGACCGATGATGGATGATTGCTGATGGCACCGCTAGCTAGAAAACTAGCTGAGAGAAACTCAGAGTAAGGGCTTCCGTGGAGCAGTTTGTTACACACGCGTGGCACCGGAAAGGGTAATCGTGGTTCAATCTGGCCTAGATTCCGAGTCTTGCAGGTGTCTCATTGTGGTTGTAATTAACATCGTAGTCTGCCGTGAAAAATTATAGTAGGTAGAAAATAAAAGGTTGACAGTAGAACACCATTTTAAAGCTTCATTCCCTTTTATTTGCAACTAAATGAATAAGCAACAAGAATTTGCGCACCCGTGATACAGTGTTCCAATGACAACAATTTGCTGTGAAGTATGTTTATTCATCTAATAACACATTGTCCTTATTGCACGGAAGTGAAATAATTTGTCGTGCTCTTTCAAAAGGGTTTAGAGCATATTTGTGAGGCACAACTATTATAGGAAAGACTGGACACACTCGCAGTAAACATTGGAATAATCGGCTTCTTTTCCTGTCTCGTTTATATCTGCCTTATTTACATGATTTTCGAAAATAGCTTTCATTACTCGCTCCAGTCACGACCATCGTCTTCACTATTGGTAACGCTACAAATAATTTTCATTTACCCACGTCATTCCAGAGATCTCTAATGAATCCGTCCATCTCGAGGCACCAGAGAAGCGTCATATATTCTCCCTTTGTCTTCGTGAATAGCTCGGATCGTTGGCCTTCTCAATAAAACGTCGTATTGCTATCTCAAAAATGTATCCGGAGACGTTGATCACTTCTACAACGTGTTCATCAACCATGAAAGCTTCCAACACATTCAACTATGTTATGGATAGACAAGACTTGAAAAGGTTTCGTTGGGACAAAATCTTCCACACACCTGATATGGATTAAGGTAGACGTCAGCTAAATAACGTTTACCATAAACAGATTTGAGGTGCTGTAGATAAATACATAAACGTCGCAAAAGCCGTAAATAGAATTGATAAATGATGGGAAGGGCGATATTTTGCAGTATTTTTTTGCGCTTTACGCCGGTTGCAGCGAACTATGTCACGTTGGGGAAATTTTCTCCACGAAAAGGACAACTTGCTCTTACGTGAATAAACATTTGCATTTACCATGTCGTCAGACGGACCGTATTGTTGCTATAAAAGTTCTGTCTGTGTGACAGGTGAACGAACTCGTTACCGAATTCAAGTGCATGTATGAACTCGCGGTCGACATCCACGTCATCAACACTACCTCCACCATCACAATCACCACCGTTCGAAGCAGCTAATTGCTTAACTTTTGATGCTTTTGTTTCTTCTATAGAACGGTGTTCACACGAACAACAACGAATATTTACATGCGGCAAACTATTTTCGGGAAAAATCGAAAAATCTGCAAGATCTCTACTCGAAGAACCGAACACTCTGCAAAATGTAGATTAGTCAATACTTAACACATTAGCATTCTGTAAGTTTTCTACTGAGTATTTCATATGGATACCAACTTTACAAAGCTCACATGGAAGCGTAATGTGCCTCTCCCACACTAAAATATCGGTCTTAAATACTGTATGAGACCACGCGTGATAACGAGGCATTACTCTCAGCTTTTCATTCCTTTTAGCCTTGTGCTCACCGTCTAGGATGCCCTTTTTCACAGTGACGGAGCGGCCTACTAGTTCTGCCAACGTATTCATCCTCAAAGATTTTAAAGAGATAAGGTAAACCGTGCTCGAGCTCATGCAATCAATTTCTTCAGTTGTACTGTACAATTTCGCATAGTGCATAGACCGTCATACACGCATTTATAAAATAAACTGACGTCTTAGAATTTTCGGTGGTATTTCTATCACTGGTTCCGAAATTTGACAAAGAGCGCAGCAGTCGTCATCTGTAAGATGTACTACTAAGGTGCCACCGACTTGTAAAAGAAGCGCTGTAACTAAGACAAAATAGTGCCTTGGTTGGACAAGCAGTGTCCTTCCCCTGCTGCTGTCTAAAATGTCGAGTCTTTCCGAAGTCTGTCCCTTCTTCTTCTTCTTCTTCTCTCTTTCTCTTCTTCTTCTTCTTTTTTTTCTTTTCAGTTTTTTTACGAGCAGTAATATCGCATCTGTTACATTCTTCTACCTCTACTAGAACAATGAAGT